TACTAATCGGAGATAAACAAAAAAACATGAATACTATCCAGCTTCTAAAAAACAAGAAAAACTAAAATACTTGTGTTCGTGCTTACTTTGATTTATTTTTTTTGTCTTATCAATCAATGGCAACTAATAGTGAAAATTCACCTGGTCATGAATCAGTTGTTATAGACAATGATGAAGGAATAAGTGTTGAGAGTAATCGAACGACTATTCATATCAAAAGTAGAGTTGTTATCCGAAGAATAATGAACGTGTTCTTATTGGTAATAAATCTTTAATTTAAACACTAAAACGAATATTTTATTATTAGAAAAAGGTGTTAAAGGTAGCTTTATACCGTCAATCGATTTAAACACTTTGGTTTTATCAAGTGGTAATTATGATCCTTTTTTTTGTTATTTAATTTTATTTGTTTTCCAGTACAGATAAAACTGAATGGCCTAAAATTTTCGCACGAGAAGCTTCAATAATTGATCAAGTTCGTCCATAGAAATTATTTGTGACTGATACCTACAGATTTGTCATCATGAAAAGTGAGTTATTTAACTCTAGTCACAGTATAAATAATATCTCCTTGTTTTACGTAAAAATTCGATTAATATACGACAGTTACAAACAATTATTAGACGACAGATGATTATAGATTTAATAATAATTGATCAGCATATATATATATATATATATATCTGATGAAATTTATTACTTCTTTGTTCATTACTTCTTTGTTCATTACTTTTAATAGTCATCTATTATTATTTGATTATTTAATGAGTTTCATGAGGAGAAAATTTTCAAGCATGATCTCTGATGTTTATTTATTTTTTTCTGTAAACATATTAATCCGAAGAGTTCTTTCTATGCAAAGAAAATACATATAAAATGACAATATTTTATATTGACGACATTAAGAGAAAAAATTAGCGGATATATCAAGACTTTTCAAAGGATGCACCACAGGTACCTAATCGACTGTTTGTCTCGTTTGTTTTGACTAAGACTTGGAAATAAGGAGAAAAAATGTGGAAACCTCGGATTTAAATCCGAGAGTTATGTGTACTTCAA